CTTGTTGGTGTGTGGGTATCTTCGTCACCTTCATCTTCTTTGTGTTCACCTGAAGTGCTGTCTTCGCTGCCAGACTCTTCAGCCAGTTTGTTGGTTTTCGCTTGCAAGTCTTCGAATTTATGTGACATTAGATATTTTAGAGTTTTCATATCGGGACAACATATTCCTATCTTCTCACTCCCAGCGCTCAGTCTGACACATAGTCCAGTCCACCACAATTAGGAATATTATTGGTCATAATACGCAGACTTGTCTTACTCCTGTATGCGCTTCGAACGCCTCACTGAGTTTTCCGTTGTGGATCATCTGATACGTGGCATTGTAATATAGCCAGCTGTTGAATGAGGTTGACAAAGACTCGAGGTACGCCATAGTGTTGAAGTAGTTTCCAAATTACTTCTCGGTCAACGCTGTCGAAGGCCTTTCCAAATTGAATGAAACTGAGGTGTAGGTTTGGCCATCATTCTATGCTTTGTTATGTGATGATGATGCGTAGAGTTGCAATTTGATCAGCACATGATTTGCCTTTCCTGAATCCAGCTTGTTCCGGTGAGGGGCGGACTTCCGCATCCAGCCCATCTCCCATCCTCTCCGAGATGACGCGACGTAGTATTTTACTTGGCGTAGACAACAGCATTATTCCACGCCAATTGTTGCAGAGGCCTAAGTCGCCCTTATTTGGCAGCTTGACAAGGTAACCTTTCTTCCAATCGGTAGACACCTTTCCTTCCTTCCGAACGTTTTGCAATAGTAGCGTGAGCACATCTGCCTCAGTCTCTGGGTCCATTTTCAGTGCTTCAGTGGGGATCCCGTCTGGTCCTGCTGCCTTCCCAGCCAGAATTCAATAGCTTCATCGCATTCAAAATTTTTGCTTTTGTTGGAGCATTGGTGTGAGTGCTGTTGTTGGTATTTCTGGCCGAGTTGCAGGTGATGATCGATTCAAGAGTCCTTTGACGTATATATATATATATTAGTGTCAGTATTTGTTCCTTGTGTCCCAAGCAAAGCGCAGTTCTTCAACAACACATTAACACTCCTCTTTGTTGCCTGTGATCACTTTTAATGTGCTGTAGGACTTTACACAAGCTTCTGTTTCCTCTTCACATCATCTCCTTTGGGTAACCCTCGGATGCCCAACTCATCGTTTCTTAAAGGATTTCATTGTGAGCTGTTGTCGGTTAGAGAACCATTGGAAAACCTGTAAGGAGCACTCGACAGTTGTTTCGTCCTAGTCTGGGACTCATCATCAGTATGCACCCACTGAAGTCCGAACCCAGGACCTTCTGGTTGCAAAGCAAGCTTGTAGACCATTAAGTCACTGGGACCCGATCCAATGGCCAGCACATGAATTCCAACTTCTGCCAATTTACTACATAGGGCGATCACTAGCTAATGTCTTCGGCGAGTATTGGTCCTCACATCCAACCTACTGTACGCTACTGGTTACGACATCCTATTAGGACCTCGCTAGTGAGCGCCTAGCATATGATGTTGCTTAAATGTCTGTTGGGCATGACTTTGGAAGAAGATAATGCCCAATATAAGACTGAATCACTTTGAAGTCAATAAGACCTAATAAAAAAATTGTTACCTGAATCAACCTTTTGACAAAATAAATCAGGAAATGAAAGAAGCTGCCTGGACTATGTTATTTCACTATACAAACAAATAAATTTGAGACATATATGTAAATAAAAATAAGTCTGAAATATATATAAGCCGTTTTTTGGAGTGAAAACATAAAAAGTCAACTAAACACCTTTGTTCAAAAAAGATAATACAGCATTTATTTTTGATAAAAATTCTAAAAAAATATATCATACACATTCAGCGACAGCGAAGGAAATACGACGAGTTTTTTTTGTATTTTTTTCAGACTAGAAAAAACAAACAATAAGGAAATTTATGATTGACATTGAATTAAAAATTTATTTTTTATTTAGCGAAGTCTGCCCGTGTTGAAATCAATTTCATAAAAATTGTTGTACTTATACCATAACCTTATTTCACATAAGTGGAAATTAAATTCTATTGTATTTAATTACCTCTAGTCATCTATTCGCTGACAAGATCGTTCACCTACCTGTAGGCTACACTTGAAACGAAATGTACTCATCATACGATTAAGGAGGTTATATTTCTCAGACTAAAAGTTCTATTTCACCGATTAATGCATTTTAGAGAATTTTTTCTCTCTAAATCCAGTACCCAGCTGGAATATAACTTTAAACAACAAACAGATCAGGATTAACAAATAAATCTTATGTCTTCGTATGTTTGGCATGCGATTCGCCCCCTGTAAAATGTAAGATGCTGCTACAGGACTGGACTACGTCAACTCCTAGCTTAGTGATAGGGAGTGAAGTGATAGAACATGTTGACCACTTCACCTATTTGGGAAGTGGTATCAGCACCAACGGATTGATTGGTGACGAAATCTCAGCAAGGATCCAAAAAGCTCGAGCTGCTTTCACTAACTTACACCATCTCTTGCGTAGGCGTGACATCCGGCTATCAACTAATCAGCAGTTCGCCCCGTCCAATACAAGTTGAAGATATGAAAAGGTTATCTGTTTTTGATCATAGATGTCTACGATGTCTTCCTCACGTTAGGTGGTATAATAAGGTAAGTAATGTTGACGTTAAGCGTAGAGTGTTGGGCAAAGAGGGAAAATCAATCGACGAGGCTATAAAGTTACATAGATTGAGATGGCTAGGTCACGTGATGTGTATGCCTAACCATCGCCTCCCCCGACGGGCATTACTAGCTGATATAGGTGCAGAGTAAGTGGTGGCCAAACAAAAACATGGCATCAATTCATGAAATCCTTGACAGTTAAACTGAGTCAGGTAGGGAGATGCAGACTTCTGGGTTGGGGCCCGCCCTCGGGACTCTAAGAATCAATGGCTGGAGACAATAGGTGACATGGCTCAAAATCGTTGTCAATGGCTTACGCAGATGTATTCAGTCTCTGTAATCTTTCATATTCCATTCTACCATTACTCATTCTGTTTCACTCTTTTACTTGTCAAAACTCTATGGATTCTCTACACTCATCTTCTTGTCTAACTTTGCGTGATATTTGGAACGTGGCAACTCGAACTGCTGCACTTCGGTGCCAAGTTCTATGTTGAACCCAGACAGACAGAGACTATACAGATTAAATAGCTCTATTACATTAGAATCTAGAAAACTGCAATGTATACCTTAGTTACAAAAGCAGAATTGTGTAGAAGAAACTTGCAACACTTGAAAATAAGGCAAACATTGAACTTCATAGAAAAGCTGAATGATAGTAGAAATTAAAACATATGAATACATTATCTATTTAACTTAGGAGTTAGACGCATAAGTATTGAAGTAATAACACTTTGAAACAGTTACACAAAAGATCTAAGTGCTTATCGCATCTCGAAGAGTTTTACAGTCATGGTCTTTGTCATCAAGGTCGATTTTAAACCATTCAATTTGAAGACAAAAGACCACTGAAAGCTTACAGTATTTAGCAATTAATGAAAACAAAACACATAGTTCATCAAAATATCCAAAAATATGTGATGAACAGTCAAACTGTAACTTGGGGGTGAACTGTTTTCAACCTTAAAGCATAATATACAACGATCAGATAAGAAAGACTAAAGTCTTAATTAAAATATTGGTCTTATCAGCCGACGTTTATGTTTTAACCGACAACACTGGTGCATTGAAGACATTTTAAGCATCCACACTTACTGCCTACTTCTACATCTAACTTTGGCTGAGAGAGAATCACCCTTAAAGACGTAGTCATACTTGTGTGCAGTGTTTTATAAAACGTTTATAAACCACCTTGCTTCGTGATAAAAATCTGCCCATGATTTTGAAATGACTGTTGTACAGAAACATGCAAAACCATTGAATAATTTTGTACGTATACAGTATTATTCCCTTTTTGTCACTCTGACCCCAACGGTAACAGATTTCCTTTTTGATTGGATTGTTCATAACCTATTGCGCTTCGAAATTACTGATTTCTTCGAGATGTGTTTCTGTAAGATGTACATTTCATAATAATAGGCTATCATGTCAAACCAAGTATGTATAACGTTTCCATATTCTCTGAAAATAGTTCCTAACTAACTGAAGACGTCATAGACATATTCCATTTTAAGAATTCAAATAAAGCAAAAACAGCAGTTAGAGGAGAAGTGGACGATTTTATTTTATGTCTTTTTTTTGGTTACTCACCAACCACATTTGTTATTCCTTTACGTTCCCAGTGGAACACAGAGCTTCAAGCTAGAAGCTTGCAGTTTTATTGGCAGTGGTATTTATTTTTACGAGATGGGGTTGCTAGCCTCATGCCCAACCTCCCCTCATTACCAGTCTTATTACTGGCTTAGTGAGCTAAAGGAGTGCGTCGGTAGCCGGGTATCGAACCTCAAATCACCTACGTGGTTGGCGAACATTCTACCACTGTGCCAGAGACACAGCACCAACTTCACACAACCTATAAATCCTAAAAAGCTATGCTTTAAAGATCTGCTTAACCGAACAAAAGTTAACTGGGATGCGTGCAATGTATCCGAGTGAATTTGGATTAAGAAAATGTCAGATATATCTACAAAGCAGTTAAATAAATCGTTTTATGAGAAAGCAAGCAAGCAAAATTATACAGCAATAAAGTTTATTAAATTATAATCATAATTATTTGCAAGTATTATGATACTATTTTAAAGTATGCATTAGTTTTCCCCCTCTCTCTCTAGCTGTTACAATACGTGATTACATGGAATATTATTTTACCACAGCTTCTTGACTAACTCTCAATCTACACAACGCATACGATAAGTAGGTTTCTTGCCGTTGGCGATTACAGTAACATCTGATCAGAGACAACAAAGATTTTCTACTGTATATATAAAACAGGGTGAAAATATGCACGCCTTTGTTTTTCTTTACAGTAGTAATTAAACTTTCAGAAAGTTGAATATGCTTCAAAAATAATGAAGAAACTAACCGGTAACTGTTTAACATGATTGCCTTCAATATTGAATTCAGTCAACTTTTCACAATTGCAGATTTCGTCTGGAAGTTCAGTAAGATAGTTATACCTAAGAAAAGAAAGGTGAACATATCAAAAAGGCCAAAAAGTATTGGAAAAATAAACTGGTGAGTTTATAAAATGATAATCAGCGAGTGAATACCTAAATTAACTTGTTTAGGTACTTTTAGACTAAAATACATTTCTGGATCTCAGGGCTATTGATTCGTTAACAGTCTAATTCTCCGCCAATCCAAGTTGCTGACGACTCATTTCAACCAGCAGCAAACTTATCAATGGTTTCACAGAAATAAACAAACATTCAGAAGAGCTTGCTAAAACAAAAAGACCCCATTAGTACAGTTTTACCGAATTTAATTAATCATTGGTTGAGATAATTCTGTCGTGTAACTACTTTTCCCTAACATCTTTAAGTCCCTGTTAGTATTCAGAGGAAAGTATCTTTTAAATAAGCGAAAGTGCTCAAATTTATTTCAAATGAAATCTACTCTACAAATAAGTCTTTGCCCAATTTTATCTCAAAAACAACCTAATCGATAGTTAATGGAAACAAGTGTCTAACAACACTTAACCACAGTGATCACACTTTGTTTCATTTATAAGGCAGTTAATGGAGAGATATAAGACAAGGCTGTCTATTATCACCGATGATATTCTTAATTGTGGTGGATTGGATTATGCGTCAGACTGTTGGGGGCGAGGAGTCAGGAATACGCTGGACGACTGATAAGAAGACTCAATCTAGAAGATCTGGATTTCGAGTGTGGATGATATATGTCTAATGTCACACGAACTCGAAGACTTGCAGACAAGCGAGAACCAACAAACTGGCTGAAGAGACTGGCAACGAAAACAGGACTGCAGGCGAAAACAGAGAAGAAGGAGGTGATGAAGGTAACCAATCAACAGAGACAAAAACAACCAGCACCAATCACCACCAACGGGAGAGATTTAACAGAGGTTGCCTCCTTCACTTATCTGGCTAGGAAGCATCGTTTCAAACACAGGGGGATGGCATGGATGAAGATGTCAAAGCCAAACCAAATCGGAAAGGCAAGATACACTTTCATCAATCTGAAACCAGTTTGGAAATCTTCTGCACTCCACATCAGCATAAACAACAAGATTCGGATTTTCAATACAGATGTGAAGTCGGTCAGTGTTTCTATACGGGTTAGAAACTTGCACTGCGTGTCACAAAAAGCATTCTCAACAGGCTACTTCAGTCTATTATCAACAGCTGCCTTCGCCCGTTCCATACGGAAGATCAAATGGCCGGCCCGTCAGCCAGCTAGAAAGAATAAGCAACAAGAAACTGTGGGAACAAAGCAACCAAGAGTCGATTGCTCTAGAAATATGAAGGAGAAAGTGGAGATGGATCAGGCATACGTTGAGGGGGCCGCCGAATGACATCGCACAAGAGGCCATTGCTCTAGTGGAATCCCGTTGGGAAGCGACTAGTGGGTCTTCAGTGTGAGTGTGATATGGAAAAGAGATTGTCCGAGGAAGAGATGAGAGAGTTTGATCAATCGTGGAGCTATCCAGCTGAAGAGGACGGCGGAAAACAGAACAATGTGGAGATGTGTCGTTGAAGCCCTATATTTCACTCTAAACGCAAGGGAATAATAATAATGAACAGACGTAAATGCCGAGTAGCTTTACAAAATATTCTTCATCAGGTTCATCTTCCACTGAAAATCCAGATTTTTGACTTAAAAAAAGCCTTAAATCACAACTTTTCATTATCCACTTTTAAACGAGACTGATGACAGCCTAACTGGCTTGGTGAAAATGTTTATTATCAAAGTGACGAATACTCCAGATTTTAAGTGTGATACTTGAGGAAATATGACTCTACAACATATGTATCTTCCGTTTGTAGATTGTGATGACAAAATTTGAATAATATTTTAATGAGAAATAACAGTCACAACTAGCCGGATTAGTCGTTCCACATCATTGACAATTAGTTATCTACATACTTTACGATTTTAACAACCGATAATTCATAAACATGAAGTCTGTCTGTCATTGTTTTCAGAAGCGAAAAAGATACCACAATGGTGGCTATTGACATTACATTACTAAAGTCTTCGGGAGTACATTTCTGCACCAGTTTCTAAATTCCGAATAGCTAGGTGGCAGCATTTCTGACCTCAGCACTGAATTACGTGGGCTCTAAAGTTATTTGATGCATCAGTTTCTTTAAAGTAACCTCTGTGCGCCAGTGGTTTAATGGTGTAAAGCTTGACAGTCACACTGAAGGTCCAGGTTCAATTCTCTTCTGATGTACTCCTAAACCTCGACTAGCCTGTAGTCAAAGCGCATCCTGTAGAAGCAACACCGTCAGAGTTGAAATTTCAAAGTGTGAAGCCGCAATTTCCAGTAGGAAATAGAAGAATAAAAAAATATCATCGTCTAACAGTTAGATCCACCTTAGTGTGCTTTCTTACTTGACAAACTTGTACTCGATTTTCCAAAATATATTTTAGATACTCACTTTTCTGTCTTACTGACAACATTTTTATCCAGCTCTTATTAATAATTTTGAATGAATTTTATATGAAAGGTATCTTATGTGGTTGAGTTTCGCGCTTGATTTTATAACTGCAGACTTCTGCATATCTACTGTCATAATTCGAATTGCTAATGTTAAAGCTGCTTACTTCAAAGCACCGTTTACATAATCCTTAACTGAATGAATTGAACGAAAACAGAATCCGCGGACAAATAAAGCGAAAAAGTTTATATCAGGCATAGTTTTAAGGCATTTTCTATCAGAGTCTGAAGGTTTAATTCAATTAAAAGTAAGTTTTTCATTCCTTTGCGTTTTGAAAGGGATGTAAAGCTTGAGCTTTGAATTTTCAGTAGCAGTGGTGTTGTCTCTATGCGGTAGAGTGTTGCTGTCTTTACAACTAATCTTCCCTCTTTACCAGGCTTACTACCCGCTGAGCGAAGTCTAGGAATGCATTGAACGAGAATCGAACCTGGATCACGTGCTCAGTTGGGGGAAACTGAATGTATATATATATATATTGATGTGGTTGTGTTCTCTGAGCTGGATAGTTAATTTGCGAAGCTTTCATTGCCCTACTTACTAGGCAACATCTTCAGCGCATACTTCAATTTCAAGTGAGCTTTTAGATTTCTCCACGAGTTTATTAGTCATCTCTCCTAGGTGCTTTGATTGAAGGTGATTGGTTGTTTTTGTGTGTTTCCGCACCCTATAGGCTACTTGCATTGGTACTGATTGTTTCCTTTTGTGCGTGAGGCTCAAAATTCAGCTCAAGGAAACAGCCAGTGCCAATGCAAGTAGCCTAGAGGGTGTGGAAACACACAAAAACGACGAAAGAGTCACGTTCAGAGTCACCAGGAGAGATGACTAATAAACTCGTGGAGAAATCTAAAAGCTCACTTCAGATTGAAGTATGCGCTGAAGATGTTGCCTAGTAAGTAGGGCAATGAAAGCTTCTCAAAAAAACCATCCAGCTCAGAGAACACAACCACGTCAAAATCATCCACTTGAGCTACAAATCTTCTCCATTATATATATATATACATATATTTGAAGAACAAGGCAAAAGTGAGACTTGACTGAATCAGCAGTACATCCACCTTGAAGTCTTCAGTTATCCATTCTAGAAATCTTATTGCTGTTTACCAGAAAGCCTAAAGCGTTTCATACTTTTCAGATAGACAGCTACATAAGTCACACAAATGTGTCAAACTTTATTTTCACTATGACTGATTTTCCTTAAGCCAGAATATTTTCAGGTATGAATGTCTTGTCATCTTCATACAAATCAACTAAAATCTACTGACTCTCAGTCTAAGTGTTCTGTTCAAGCTGGTTCTCTGAATGTGGCTTAGAATTTAACATATACAGACAACAATAAAAACTAGGAGTAGCCAATAATTTGAGAAATGTAACCATAATAAACTGTACTCTATACCTTTATGTTCCCTAAGAAGAAGGCTACAGGCTGTGGAGACCACAGTGAATGAATTTCATTCTATATATGTATATATATATATATATATATTCGTACTTCAAAATGATCAAATAAAAAGATTCATTCTGAACATCTCTTCAATATATTCACTTCTTCTTGTTCCTACTTTGAGTATAATTTATGCATTCAGTATGCTAATTAGTTGTTTTCATAGCTAGAATGTTAGCTGACCAATGTAAAAATATTAACGGAGACAAAAGAAAAGGTTTCGTTAAAAAAAAATTATCGACCAACAGTTCATTTAAAATGTCAGACCCACCTCATTACAATCTCATAATTTATACACAACCTAAAAACATTTAAATTGTCTTCTTTTTTTGTTTAGAATTACGATGAGTATTTTTTTACAGTGTTACATCACCAATATAGAAGACACAGTCACTAGTATTTATTTCGACCCAACTACATGACCTTAACCCATTGACTCTAGGTCAATATTCTTAACTTTCTTTTCCTTCACGTCCCTCAGTGGAACATAAGGCTTCAAGCTAGTGGCTTGAAGTTTCTGTAGCAGTGTTCATTTTACAGGATGGGGTTGCTAGCCTCATGCCCAACCTTTCCTCTTCACCAGCATTATATCTGGCTTAGTGAGGTAAAGGAGTGCGTCTGTGGCCGGGAATCGAGCCCCGGACCATGTGCATGGTCGGCGAGCGTCTTAACCAATGTGCCACCGACGCACATTCTTATCTTACATTTTTCAATATATGCATCGATTTGCCTGGTATGCTTCTAAGTGACAAATTCTGCCATATAACCTAATATTCTTACTTTTTCTTCCCAGTGTCTTATAATTAAGTGTATGATAATAGCCTCAAATGGTCACCTGTACTGATATTGATCTTTACACGCGTCTTCTGAAGCAGTGAACGTAAATGATGACTGTACTAATTAATAAAAGTTTTCTTACGCTTCCCCCCCCCTAAATAAATATAAGGTGTGGCTACGGAAATTGAATGCTTTATTATCTACAAGTCCAATCCTTATCACCACTTCGTAAGCATAAAATAAAACGCAGAAATCTGTTAAAATGTAATCA